CGACATGTCAAAGCGCAAGATCTCGCTCCACAGCTGCAGCACCGCCGCCGCGGCGGTCGAAATGTCAAAGCGCAAAATCTCTCTCCACAACTGCAGCACCGCAGCCGCCCCCAAGCCGCAGCAACACTTGTTCCTAGTGTTGGACGACTGGGATAAGGGCTACAGCGTTCGCAAGGTGGATTTAGACGCTTTGGACTACGCCAACGATGACTGCGAGCCTGACGACTTCAGCGAGCCGCCGCTCGCCCGCTTTGACGTGGTGCACGGCCACTCGTACGCCTTCGTCGCCCACGGCACCAAGATCGTTGCCATGAAGCCCCATGAGGTTAGCCCCGCCATCCCCGCCTTCGACACGGCCACCTCCGCAGTTGGTATCCTCCCGTGGCCCGAGTTTCGCATGTCCTTTGGAAGGCCCATCCTCGTCTCCATCGACGGAAGGCTCTTCCTCTTCATCAACCGCATCCACTACCTTGGCGACCCGCCAGTTTGCGAAGCTGTATATGCACCTGCAGTGCAGAAACCGTGGGTCTGGACGTCACTCGACTCGCCACGTTCGCTGCTGCCGTTCACAGCTCCTGTATGCTATGCTGTACACCCGGATGGGCGCACCCTCGTGGTGTCATCCCGTAAATGGAGGACCGTAACCGAGGAGGGCACCTTCTCCTTCGACACCAAGAAAATGGAGTGGACGCGCCACGGCGACTGGCAGCTCCCTTTCCGCGGCCAAGCACACTACGTATCTCAGCTGGATGCATGGATCGGCATGTGCCACCATAAGGGTGGCATCGGTCATCTCTGTTCCTCGGATGTCGTGCCAGTTGCCGCCGGTGCAACGACCTTACCACGATGGAAGCTCCTCGGAGAGGAAAGGCTTTTCGACCCGGATTCGCCGCTGCACCTGGGTGCCACCCTCGTTCACATGGGCGGCACCAGGTTCTGTCTCGTGGAATCTATGTGGCACAAGGCCGATGAAGACGTGCGGCAGCGCAAGGGCAAGGAGAGTGGAATGTACGTAGGGCCTCCTCGGGTCGTTATTCGCATGACAACGTTTGATGTTCAGTATGACAAAGATGGTGAGCTGCTTCTTCAGTCACGGCGAACTCATGGCTGCAGAGTTTTCAGGAGAGCCCATGACAAGCCGGATTCGTTGGCTGGCCCCGTGGCATTCTGGCTATAAGCATCTTGAATGCAGATTTATTTTTATTAGCCCCGTGGCATCCTGGCTATAATATAAGCATCTTGAATGCAGATTTATTTTTATTAGCCCCGTGGCAATATTGAGTTCTGTAAATCCCTGGAATTGAAGTAAACATGGTTCAGAATTGTTTAATATTAGGGTCTGTCTCAGTCGACTGAGACTTCGCTATGTCTCAGTCGAATGACGTCATCCTTGTGCGTATCGTGTAGTTTCTGATAGCTTT